TATGTTTCACATATAACGCACTTATAAACATATACTATATGGTACGTACTCTAACTCACATTTATCTCTTTCCCTGTTTCTGTTGTATCTCCCTCTCATAAGTGACTTAGCTACTAAACCATTGACCAAAATAGTTTTGTGATCATGCGTTACATGCAACTCAAATATGAATGTGTTGAAAAATAAACCATAAAATCCATCATAAACTACTTGTACATGTTTGCTTCAAAGTTAAAAAAGTCATATTGTATATATTAAGTCATTAGAAAATAATATTCTAATTAAAGAATAACAACTAGAGAAAATGAACTAGCATCTTGATGATTGCTTCATATAGACCAAATTGGAAGGTATGACTTGTCTTTAAGCAAAGTGACATCTTTTAGTTTGAAGAATCTCTTAAACCTGAGGTTTTCCAATCAATTTTAGCCACGTTATTATTGGCATTCTCTACTATCTTCTTCTTTTTCGTGCTCATTTTTATATTCTTCAATTCAATTCTATACAAGTCATAAGAATGGAAAATAATAATTATCAATGTATATTTACTAGTAATATAAGATACGTTGGCACGTAGAAAAATCGAATAACGTTACTCTAACATAATTATATTGTTAATAACTTTCCTTATTTTGGAAGTCCGTTGACCCAATGTTGCCGACGAGGGGTTTGATTAGTGAAGACGAGAGCAGAGTTACGGTACATTGTGGAATTAACAAAGTTCTTCTCATTTATGGTAGATATACACCAAAATATATTACGAAAAAAATAATACTAGATGTGTTTCTTATTATGTGCAATAAAGGTTATTATTTGTGAAATACTCCATATAAGATATTTTTTTATTATAAATAATAAGAAACGGAGCGAGTATAATAAATTGATACTATACATGTGATTACTTAGAAAATATACTACGTAGAAGTACAAATGGAAAGACCTTTCTAAATGATTCTACATTCTAAACAAAAATATGTGAAACAGGAGCACTATGAGCTGTTCTGATTTATTGAACTGCACTTAATTGATTGGAGCTGAACTGAATATTTTATGAGAGAAGAAAATTAGAAAGTGAAAATAAGCTGAAGAGAACAGATATATGTAATTTTACATGTTACTATGGTACTTAAATACAATACTCTCTTATGTTTCCTAATAATCCAACACTATTACTTTTGCACTCTTGATATGCTTACTTTGACATTATATATATATACTTATGAATACTTATGAATTTACATTAGATTAAGTTATATATATTTTTTTTTAATAATATATAGGATTTTTTTTACTTTTACCAAAAAAAAAAAAAAAACACAAAATTGTTTTTTAAATACCAAAAATTTTATTTTACCACAAAAAAATCGAAAGAGGAGCTCTAACCACTTGAGCTATCACTCTCACTCTCAATATTACTTTAATTTGTTCATGCCAAAGAATAGTACGTCACAATTTTAGAATAAAAAAATAAAGAATTTTAGTAACATTAAGTCCAATTATTACCACTAATCAAAGGAGCCATTAGATTATAGAGAATTATCTGTTAAATTAGCAGTAGTGTCACTTCTTTGCGTGGTTTGCGATGGCAATAAATTATTAGATTGAAATCAAATAATAATAAAGCAAAAACTTTTGCATATGCCCTCCGGTTTACAATAATTTTATTGTACATCGAATATTTTACGAAAAGTGACCTTTTTTTCTTACAAAAGTGATCCTTTTTACTTGTAAAAGTGACTATTTTTTTTTTTCACAAAAGTGACCCTTTTTTTTCACAAAAATGACCCTTTTTTTTCACAAAAGTGACCATTTTTCACAAAAGTGACCCTTTTTATTTACAAAAGTGACCTTTTTTATTCATAAAAGTGACCCATTTTCACAAAAAAAATTTAATACATATGCAAAACAGAGTATCAAAATCAACAAAAATAAACACAATTAACAATAGTCATGAAAAAAATAGTACAATCACTTAAACAAATCGAAATAATAAAGATCAACATCACATAACAACAAAATCAATAAAAAATAAAATAAAATAAAATAAAAAATGTACATTCATTTAGATCAACTTCATCAGAAATTGGATTAGTGAAAATCGGGAGCTCGTAGTAATTGAATTGAGATGATTGATAAGCATTTTCTACTGATGTGATTAGCATTATGGGCAATTGAGTAAACAAACGCCGTTTGATGATGAAAAATGTTCTTGAAAGATTTAAAAAAACTTAGTTTTGGAGGTAATAACCATTCGGGGCTTGCACATAAAGGATATTATGCACTAGCAGACTAGGATAAAGAAGGAAGAAAGCAAATTAAGAGTGAGAAAGCTTAGCTTGAATCTCTGGAAAATGGAAAGGAAGAGAGGAGAGAGAAAAGTAATGATATAATTGTGGGTGAAATTTTTTTTGCTGGAACGAAGGAGGGAAAACTTTCTTCTTTCATAATGCCATACAATAAATAGCATCGGTTTTTTTTAAACATTTGAAATAATAAAATTATTAAATACCTTTGCCTTAGTTTACTTTCGGTGGTGTGCAAAATGAACATTTTATCATCAAATCTGATTTCCACCCCTAATTTAGTGATCCTTTTTGTTGCATAATTTATTAATCTATGTTCCCTCCCCACAAGTATATAATGTCGTGAGAATTTCAATCTCACCTCTTATTTTATATGCCCATGATAAAATAATTCCCTTTTATTAGAAACTAGATGAAGCCCGTGCGATGCACGGTTTGTTTGAATTTTTTAAAAATATTTTTTTTATACATATATTTATGTGCTAAAATTTGTTATATATGTAGATAAATTCCTAATATGAAAAGATAATATTTTATATTTAATTAATTTAAATTGGAAAATCTCATTCGCCAATTTTGCTTACATGGCATTTGAATTATTTAATTATAAAAGATTTTAATAATCTCCTATTTAATTGGTTACTACTAAAATTTATAATCCTACATGGCACACACTATGAAAATTAGATCCTATGTGGCTCTCAAAAAACTCGGGAAAAAACTCCCCTTTATATATATATATATATATATATATATATATATATATATATATATATATATATATATATATATATATATATATATATATATATATATTAGATCCTATTGACATCTAGTTTTGTGCCCGTGCGATGACCGGGTTGTTTATTGAATTTTAAGATTAATATTTAATCTATATGTCAAATTTTAAAACATATCATTAATACAAATTTAGTTAGGAAATTATGTGTTTTAATTTTGTGACAATTTAAACTATGTAGTAGGCATGTAATGACTAATAATAATAATATTGGTGAAAACATTTCTTGACCCGTAACTTGAAATAATGACCCTGTCTGAAATGACTCGTGATCCGACCCGATTGACGGGTAGGTTTACACACAGTATTAAAATTATATTAGATTTTGAAGTATTATTATTTTAATTGATTAGAATATATTATAAATAATAGATGTGGTACATTTTGAACTAATTCCTTCGCTCCAAAAAAATATTATGATACAAAAAATAAAATTTATGAGAGTCATAATGTAATTATTTTTTGAATAAAATTATAATTCAATTTGTAAATATTGGTACTTTATCGAAAATAAAACTCTAAATTAACAATGTCGCCTGGCTAAAAGTTTAGCTTTATATATTAGTTATATGATATACTAGTTTTGTACCCGTGCGATGCCCGGGTTGTTTATTGAATTTTAAGATAAATTTTTAATCTATATGTCAAATTTTAAAACATATCATTGATACAAAATTACTTAGGAATTGATGTGTTTTTTGTGGTGATTTAAACTATATAATAGGCATGTAATGACTAATAATAACATTGGTGAAAAACATTTCTTGACCCGTAACCTAAAATATTGACCCTGTCCGAAATGACTCTAGATTGTAAAGTATATTGTTTTAATTGATTAGAATACATTATAAATAATGGATGTGGTGCATTTTGAGCAAATTCCTTCGCTCCAAAAAAATACTATGATACAAAAAATAAATTTATATGATAATTTATGATTGTAATATTTTTTTTAATAAAATTATAATTTAATTTGTACATATGAAATATTGATATTTTATCGAAAATAAAACTCTAAATTAACAATTTTATCGTAAAATTCTATCCAAATTTGATTGAAAATAGAATTATAAATTAATTTTTTTATCATACAAATTGAATTCTATATAACTCTATCCTACGTGGCGCAACACTTGGCGAAAAGTTGGAGCGCCAAGTGTCGCTACCTCGTCATCTGGCTAAAAGTTTAGCTTTATATATTAGTTATATGATTAGATTGATTTGTATACAAACTTAAATTGGTTTTTTGATCATACTCGATGTCAAGTTGAAACTAAATTATCAATTACTACGGAGTATCTACATACATCGTAAAGATAAATTTTGCTGTGTTCGTATAAAGAAAATGACTCTAAAATCCAACAATAGGTTAATATGAATACATTCTCAACGTCAATTAGATCTTTAGGTGAAACTTATGTGTCTAGACGTCTTGTACTCTATAGTTCTATAGAAGCCTCCTCTGAGTCCTCTCTTCCTTTCCTCCTTAAATGAGTATGAACTAATTATAAGTTTAGAACAGAAGTAATTATCCAAGGACCCACCTTTAAATTGTTAACTTCCCATTTCCACCGACTTATGATGCAATGTACAATACTTGCGACGTATATGGTGCAGACACCTAAAAATATCTATTCATATGGAGTTAAATTGCTTTAGGTTCTTCCTAGATTGAATACACACCCTTCCTTTTCCTCCCCCACTTCCGACCCACCATCAGATATAAAGCCATAGCCACACAACCGTTGTTGGTCATGACAGTATTTCCCACCACCAAAAACTCATCAGCAACCATTATGGCAGCAGTAGAGGAAGCAGCTAAAGCCTTGCTGTTAACCAATAAATTATGACAGGATACAGATTGTTCCTCAAGGACAGGATGCAGATCACAGCTCAGATAGAGAATCAATAGATTAGTAATAATCAGCTACGAACAGTATAAGGCGGTACAAGTGAAAAGGAAAAAAACAAGTGGAAAAGGGAGTGCAGGAACATTGCAGCATCAAAGACATCCACTCTTTCACCCAACAAGAAAGCATCCATACCGTACAGGTTGGGCCACCGGCATTTTAGATATCTGTCTCGGGACACACATTATAGATACCCTGCTTGTAAAAGACTAGCATTGGATGCAATTGATGTAACACAGGAATCCAACGTAAAGTGCGGAACCTGATTGCCACTTGATGCACTTTCTGATCAAGGCCAGGTGATGCTTATAGAACTGTCTATAAATACTCAAAAATGACAAAACCACAACTTAAGATTCAAGTCCAAAATTTAACATTGAAAGAAAGAAAAAGGTTACAGAAATCATTCCCTACTCTTAGTTTCAGGGTGTGTGCTAAGCAAGAAAAGATTACATTTGCATTGTCGACTAATGCCATGGACCATAACCACAATGTTTGTAGAAATCATAGCATAGATCACGAGGAGCTCAAACTTCTAGCAACCACATTTTGAAGCCTGCTTAACTAGTACCTAAACCATTTTCAAACCAGTTCTGTAAGATGTTATCAAAACAATTAGAAATACAAGCGATATTAGGTTTGAAGCAGAGAAATATAAACAAGTAAAAATAGTAAGCTTTTGACACCTAGTTTCAATCTCGTCAATTATCATTGTTTTCTTCACATCACGCTTTGTTTTCTAATTAGAGAATTGCAATTAAGGTAAGGTCTTTGTCTCAATCTTGCATACTCTGTACTTATGAGCTTATCTACATGAGTACATGAATAACTTAACTATCTTTAAAAGGTTCAATTAATACTTGCTTGTAATTGACCATAAATTATTGAAATAAAATATGCATTAAAGTTATTTTCTCTTTGCTTATCCACTTTATGACAGGGAAAGAGGTTTACAGAAGATGGATATAGAGGGTGATAAGATATGGGTATAGACCTCTAAGAGATTTATACCATTGAAGATATTTGTAACTCTGAAAGCTGACACCTATAGTCACCAATTGGAGATGCTCATCTATAACATTTTTCTAATGCTGGACATATAAATAGTATTCTCTACTAGATCTGGTTATTGGGTAAGTAAGGTCAGGGTCGGTGCCCCAATTGCAGGTTGGGTCACAACCCACTGATGAGTGACATTTATGCCACTTTTCCATCCTTTTTCCCTAAGGATTCTCCCCTCATTTGCACTTGTTTGAGCCTTTTTAAGCATTTTTCCCTTAGTTTTGCCTTTCCCTTTCTGTAGACACCTAAAAATGTCTCCCCAAAACCAAACCCGATGATGAACAACCTTTCACCGCCATTATTGGTCGGGTTGAGTATGTAATCTTTGGAGTGCTTAAATCCATGTTCATTCCCAATACATTTCATAAACCAACCCAACTCTAGCCCATTTCCCCAAACCATAACTTATTTTCCTCTTTTCGTGTCTTTAAACCCAAAATAATTTATTTCGTGTCCTTTAAAATCATTCATTTCGTGTCCTTTTTATAAAAACGTTTAATCCAGTTTATTTTGGTCCATAATATGGGTCCAATGATTGAATAGTTGGATGGGGATTTAAAAGAGCTTTCCAACGATATATTATAAGCCCAAATCCGAGTTATAACGAATAAGTTATGGCCAAAATATTAAACTGAGCCCAAACCGAACTTAAGCCCACCTTACCTACGACTCAATGATCATGTGGAGGGTCCAAATTATTTAATCCCGTTCCTAAACCAATTATGATTAATTAGAAGCTTCTAAAAGTTTCTAAAAGATCCTGATTATTCTTTTTGAAAAGATAAGATTAAAGAGTTTGAAATTGAATAAAACTCCTTTTTTGAAAATCCTATTTCTATCCGAATTGAAAGACATTCAAAGATAGACAGATATTATTTTCGTGCCTCATATTTTTTATCCAAATTTTATATGGTTGAATAGCCCTTGAAATTATCTTTCCAATGATATATTATAATATCAATTCCGAGCTATAACGGAAAAGATATGAATAAAATGTCAAACTCTATCCAAAACTGACACCGTCTCACTATTTCGGCCATATCTTTTATTCTACAAAATATTTTAATCTGATTCCAATTGAGTTAGAAAGTAGACTTCAAGATCTTTCCAATGATATCTTATTCATCTTATTCCGATTTCTGGATCAAAAGATATGATAAAAACATAAACCGCAAAAACTGCTGTCTATCGCAAGAGTTTTATCCGATTCGAATTCTTATCTTTTCTTGATTCTTCGACCCTCTTTTTTCTCTATAAATAGAGGTCATATCTCCCCCTTTTTTCCAATCATCAACAAGCTTGATCATCATATCATTCTCTTCTCCCTCTTTAGCCTAAACACTAGCCTCCCTATTCTTCCAAAATACTTCCCTTAAGCACTCCAAGGAGTTCATACTTAACCCAAAGTTCTATACTTAAATCAAAGGCGTGAAAGGTATAAATAACTGAGGGTTTGGACCAAATCAAATCTACATTTATTTAATTTAATTTTCATTTGATTTAAATTTTTGTTGAAGTTACTAACAATTTATTCATGATGTAGCAATTTAAAGGAACGCGCGAAATATGAGTAATTAATTAATTACTCTTATTTTATTTTCTTATTGCTAGTATCATGATTAGGTTATTTTATATTTGATTTGAGTCACGTTATTATTGTTAAATTGCTTCCAATATTAATGTTTATTCTATTATTTTTTATTGATCACCATATTGCATGTTTAAAGGGAATATGTAATTGAAAATCACGACTAATAAGATAATTTGGACAACCGGTTTAGGTTCCTTTTTAATCTTGTTATTTAATCAAGTGATCACAAATATTTTAGAATAATATGTTGCATTAATATTCAACCAATTTAGCTTAATAATATTTTGGAGCAAATTGAATTTTTGTTTGTATGCCTTTGAGATCGCAGGAATCATTTTTCACTATAAGAATCGAGTAGAGGCCAATACGGGCGAATGTGACTCCATGACTCACTTTGTACCATCATCCCCGATCCTCATTTCGTGGTTCCGAACCATATGGAGTTAGTAATCTCATGGATTATGAATGGGGGTGTAACCTTTACGGGTCAATCGTTGTTGCCTATTGTTGTCCCTTAATCGTGGTTGCCTTTTATGATCCGTGAACGGTTTACAAGTTCCTTAAAAACTTGTTGGCAGCTCCCTACTTTCCTTGTCCCTAATCGTGTCCCTAATCGTATTATGTCAATTCTCACTTCCTATGAGTGCCAAACATATTCACCACATGCTTTTAACGTAGGCGCACTTCGAACGACGCCTACACTTTCTTTTTCGCGTGTTTCCTTTCCCTTTTTCTCTTTTTGTTGGTTTTTCTAGCGTTTCTTTGTCGTTTTGTAGGTTCTTGGCCTTCTTGGATGAACTTTGGAATGCATGACGTGCCGTGGAGAAGGAGCATGAAGCTCAAGAGAAGCTGAAGGAAGGAGGAATCAACTAGGTTCGGCCGAACCCCCCTGAAGGTGTGGCCGAACCTAGGTGTGGCCGAACTTACTTTGTGGTGCGGCCGAACCACCTTGGCAGTTTCAAGCTGGAAAATGACCGTTTTGCAGGAGTGACCGAACCTCAGAAGTTCGAACAGACCAAGATCAGGGGAGGTTCGACTGAACCTACCCAGGGTTCGGTCGAACCTACCCTGTGGTCGGCCGAACCTTCCCACTGTTCGGTCGGACCATCTCTTTTATTCCAGCTGCTTTGTACGGTTTATTTTAGGCGGTTATTTAGAACGTTTTTATGTAATGGTATTGGATTATCTCATGATCCTAGACAATTAACCCTAATCTTAGAGAGAGGTAGTGTAGTATTGCTCAAGTTATCTCATTGTATGCAACTTTGGTTCAAGCTTTCCCTTCAATCAATCAATCAAGCAACTTAGCAAGTTTTCATCTTTTATTTATTGCCTCTTTAGTAATCTCTAATCCTTTCTCTTAGTTTTGTTTATTTACCTCCTAGTTGCTTATTTTTATTTATTTTTTGTGGATTAATCTATCTTTGTTATTTTCATTGTTTTTGATCATGTTTGATTTCATGCTTCTTGTGTTTACTCTTAGTTTTGCTATCATGTTTATTCCCCCTTTTCTAGGCTAATCTCTTAGCTAGGGGAAGGGGGTGTGAAATATGCATTGAATGATGGATGAATGATTATAGTTGGATTGATTACATGCCTTAAATTGATGAAAGACATGATTTTTAATGGCTTGAGATTATTGTTGCACTTTATTTGATTGCCTTCTAGTTTAAATGCATGAAAATGATTTGAACTAGATTAAGATCACCTCTATTTTAATGATTGCATGAGAATGAGTTGTTAAAATGGAGTTTCATGTATTGTGCTTCTTTATTCTCTTGATTTGCTTGTGTCTAATAGGATGCATGAGAATGATCCTAATTAGCATAGACTTCTTTCATTGATTTGCCTAGACTATTGCATGAGAATGAATTGTTTAGGTAGAATCTTGTGTTCTTTGGCATGTTCATCATGATAACTATCATTGTTCCCCTCTTTCTAATCATGTTTGACACCCCCGAACCCCTAGCGTCGTTCTCTCTTGATTTTAATCATCTTTATCTTGTTTGTTTATAGTTCTAGCGTTTACAATCCAAAAAACCAACAAAAATACACCCTTTCTTACTCTTGCTTAGTAATTGTGATGTTGAATAAGTGTGCTTCCTCATTGGATCGACCCTTTACTTGCCACTAACTAGTTTAGTGTAAGTTAAGGCTTTATAAATTGTTAATTTGATTAGGGGAGTAGTTTAACGACCTATCTTATCCCTATCAAATTTTGGCGCCGTTGCCGGGGATGCGGCTTGTTTAGCGTCTATTATTGCTTTTGTTAGAGTCATTTTGCTTTCTTTTCTTTTTGTTTTTTTTTTTTGTTTTATCATCCTTGTCATTGCTAATTGTTTGCTTAGCTTTGGTGAATGATTAGGAGGTCTCAAGGAGCACCCTCACATCAAATTGACCACGAAATCAACCGAACCTTGAGACAAGTCCGTAGGCTTTATCAAAACGAGGGAAGAGGTTTTGGTGATATAGTTGATAGTGAGAGTGATACTTACTCTTGAAGTTCACCACGCGAATCAATGGCGGGACAAGAGAATGATGTCTTATTTCGTGAGTTCGGAAATCCGGAGGATTATGAGCTCACGGGAGGGATTTTGCTACCCGTCACGGAAACCAACTTCTCAACCCATCCATAATATACTCGAATGGTCCAATCGGAGCAATTTTCCGGAAGTGCAAGTGAGGACCCTATTGAACATCTGGACCGATTCCTTGAATTGTGCGCAATGATGCAAACCAATGAAGTGAGTCAAGACTACATTCGTATGCACCTTTTCCGGCAATCTCTCACCGGACGAGCAAAGAAATGGCTAAAGCAAGTAAAGCCTAACTCTCTCACAACATGGAGGGAGGTTGTAAAGGCGTTCTTGAAGTGCTTTATCTCCGAAGAGAAGACCGCCGAAATGAGAAGGAAAATTGCATCATTTGAGCAAGAGGCCGATGAAAATCTTGGTGAAGCATGAGAGAGATTCAAAGAGTTGGTGCAAGCATGTCCCCACCAGGAGTACAATCAAGGGTTGCTCATGCGGTTTTTCTACGACGGATTGGAGCCCATGTCAAGAGCCAATTTGGATGCGGGGGCGGGTGGTCAATTAATCAAGATCCCTCAAAATCAAGTTGAAGCCACAATAGAAGAGGTAGCAAAGAATTACTCTTGGGGGGGCCGAAGTAGAAACGCTCCAAAGAGAGGTGGTATTTACGAATTGGAGAAATTTGATCAATTACAACATCAAATTCATCAACTAACAAAAGGGCTTTCCAAATTGAACACGAGTGTGAATGCAAGTTCAAGTGGTGGAGCAAGCTCTTCTCAAGTTAACTCTTTCTCTTGTCAAAATTGTTGAGGAACGAACCATGATACATCCTATTATGGAGGTTTAAGCCCCGAACACGTAGCGGCATACAACACAAGGCAAGAGGGATTTAGAGGAAGCGACGGTGGAGTAGCTTGGAGACAACCACCACCCGGGTTTGTACCTCAACCTCAACAATGGAACCAACAAGCTCAACCTTCCTATAACTCCAATCCTCAATATCAAAATCCACCTCCATCTCAACCCCAAAACCCAAGAGGAAGCTATCCAAGGAACAACCAATACAACAATCAAACCCAAGCACCTCAAAGAAACCATCAAGAACAAGCACCTCAAGCGGAGCTAACTCAAACTCAACTCCTTCAAGCCATGCATTCACAAATGCAAACCTTTGGCCAACAAATGCAAGAAATAAGAGCTCACAACAAGATGGTTGATTCGCAACTAGCTCAATTGGCCGAGAGAGCTCCCTTCAATTCACCATCTACTCTACCCGGACAACCACAACCTAACCCTTCTCATAACTAAAAACCCGATACATGCAAGACAATCACATTGAGGTCGGGAACTTCCTATGATGGTCCAAATGAGGGGGATAGTGAGGGAAAGAAGGGAAGAGAAGAGAGTGTGAATGAAGACAAGAGAGGTGAGGAAGAAAAAGTTGATGAGGTAGAAGGAAGTTCGAAGAAGAAGAAGCTTGACAACGAGAAGACAACTTCGATTCCTAGTGAGATTAGGAACCTTGATGGACCGGTTCCTTTTCAAAGTAGACTTGCGGAGAGGAAGTTGAATGACAAGTTTGCAAAGTTCCTAAGTGTGATGAAGAACTTGCACATCAATCTCCCTTTTCTTGAAGTTGTGACACAAATGCCATCTTACTCCAAATTCCTCAAGGACATCCTCACCAACAAAAGGAAGCTCAATGATGAGCTTATCACCCTTCCACATCAAGTGAGTGCTCTTGTTCAACATAAAATGCCCAAGAAGGAAAAAGATCTGAGGAGTTTCACTTTGCCGGTGAAAATTGGAAATATGGAAGCTAGGGGTGCATTGGCCGATCTTGGAGCAAGTGTTAGCCTAATCCCCTTATCCATTGCTCAAAAGCTCAATATTGAGATGATCCCTACAAGGAAGACAATTCAATTAGCCGACCGCTCGGTCAAATTGCCTTGTGGAGAACTTGAAGATGTTTCGATTCAAGTGGGACACATTTATGTGCCTTGTGACTTTGTAGTGATGGACATGGAGGAAGATGTGGACACTCCCTTGATCTTGGGTCGTGAAGCTCTTAAAACTTTGGGGGCGGTCATCAATTGCAAAAACAACACCATCACATGTGAAGTGGCCGATGAGAAGATAGTCTTTGAATTTTCTAAGTTGCTAAAGACCCCCATGGTTGAAAAGTGCTATAGAGTTGATGTTGTAAGTGAGGAGTTGGACCGTTTGGGAAAGGTCATGATGAAGCCTCAAGATCCAATAGTGGAAGCTCTCACATGCAACGAGGAGTTTCACTCTCAAGAAGCCAAAGAATTTATCATGGCAATGGAGGAATCCTCAAAGGAGGAAGTTGAACAACAAGGCGAGATTGAGCTTGAATCAATGGAGGAAAAATCGGAGGAGAGCTCCAAGCCTCCTCCCAAGGTAGAACTCAAGCCCCTCCCCCCTTCTTTGAAATATGCTTATCTTGATGAGGAGGAAAAACACCCTATTATTGTCAATGCTACCCTTGATGAATTTAATTTGAAAAAATTGCTTGATGTTTTGAGAAAACACAAAGATGTGATAGGGTATAGCATTGATGACATCAAGGGTATTAGCCATTCTCTATGCATGCATCGTATTCATCTTGAGGATGATTATTCCACCTCCATTGAACCTCAAAGGAGGTTGAACCCCAAGCTCCAAGAGGTTGTCAAGAAAGAAATTTTGAAACTACGTGAGGCGGGCATCATCTATGCTATCTCCGATAGCAAGTGGGTAAGCCCGGTTCATGTAGTTCCAAAAAAGGGTGGAATGACCATAGTCAAGGATGAAAAGGGAGAGGAAATCTCCACCTGGACGGTGACCGGGAGGAGAATGTGTATTGATTATAGGAGATTGAACAAGAATACAAAGAAAGATCATTTTCCTCTCCCTTTCATGGACCAAATGCTTTGAAAGGCTTTCTCACCATGCTTTGTTTTGTTTCTTGGATAGGTACTCCGATTTTTCCAAATCCCTATCCATCCAACTGATCAAGAGAAAACCACTTTCACATGTCCATATGAGACATTTGCATACCGAAGAATGCCATTTGGATTATGCAATGCTCCCTCTACTTTTCAAAGATGCATGACTTCCATTTTCTCCGAAATGCTTGAAAAAGAAATTGAGGTTTTCATGGATGATTTTAGTGTTGGTGGCTCGTCTTTTGACACTTGTCTTTTTAACCTTGAAAAAGTTTTGAAAAGGTGTCAAGAAACGAGTTTGGTTTTGAATTGGGAAAAATGCCATTTTATGGTCGAGGAGGGCATTAACCTCGGCCAAGTTTCAAAAAATGGCATTGAGGTTGATCCGGCCAAAGTTTCGGTGATTGAGAGGTTGCCCCTCCTACTTCCATCACGGGAGTACGAGCTTTTCTTGGGCATACCGGTTTTTACCGGAGGTTTATCAAAGATTTTTCATCAATCGCCAAACCTTTGACCGAATTACTCAAGAAGGATGTTGTTTTTAGCTTAAATGAGGCTTGCCTGAGGCATTTCGTAAGCTCAAGGAAGCTCTCATTTCTTCTCCCGTTGTGCAAGCTCCGGATTGGAGTTTGCCTTTTGAGCTAATGTGCGATGCTAGTGACTTTGCAGTAGGTGCCGTTCTTGGTCAAAAGAAAGAAGGGAAATCATGTGTCATCTACTATGCAAGTAGGACTCTCGATGAGGCTTAAAAGAATTATACAACAGAGAAAGAGATGCTAGCGGTGGTGTTTGCATTAGATAAGTTTCGGTTCTATCTTATATGCTCAAAAGTTATCGTGTACACGGATCACATCGCGGTGCGATACCTTATGACCAAGAAAGAAGCAGGCCCCGCTTGATTCGTTGGGTTCTCTCTCTTCAAGACTTTCACATGGAAATGAGGGACAAAAAGGGAGCGGAGAACTATGTGGCGGGTCACTTGTCTAGGGTTCCTTTTAAGAACAAGGAGGATGTACCAATTAATGATGAGATAGGATTCGAGACTCTCATGGCTATGGCGTCAACTTCTACCCCTGGTATGCGGATATAGCCAACTATCTTGCTTGCGGGGTCGTTCCCCCGGAATTCTCCACTCAACAAAAGAAACGGTTTTTCAAAGAAGTGAGAAGGTATTTTTGGAATGATCCGTACCTATTCAAGCAATGTGGAGATGGTCTCTTTAGGAAGTGTGTCCCCGATCACGAGATTGAGGGTGTCCTTGAGCATTGTCACTCACTACCATGTGGGGGACATGGTGGTGTTGACAAAACAGTGGAAAAAATCTCTCAATCTTTACTTTGGTGGCCTTCAATGCATAGAGACGCTCACAAATTCGTTATGCAATGTGATCGATGCCAAAGGAGCGGGGGCATTACCAAAAGGGACGAAATGCCCCAACAAAGTATTCTAGAAGTGGAACCCTTTGATGTTTGGGGGTGGATTTCATGGGACCTTTCGTCTCTTCATGTGGGAACCTATACATCTTGGTGGCGGTTGATTATGTGACGAAATGGATCGAAGCTTTACCCTCTCCTACAAATGATCATAAGGTGGTGCTCAAATTCTCAAGAAGATCATTTTTCCTAGATTTGGGGTGCCAAGAGTCCTAATTAGTGATGGAGGTTCTCATTTTGCCAAGAAGCAATTGGAAGCTCTTCTCAAGAAGTACGACGTTCATCACAAGGTTGGTCTACCTTACCATCCTCAAACTCAAGGTCAAGTGGAGGTCTCGAATCGTGAAATCAAGAATATACTTGAGAGGATGGTGTACAAATCGAGGAAGGATTGGTCTCTCAAGCTCAATGACACACTTTGGGCTCTTAGGACGGCGTACAAGACTCCAATCGGCACAACCCCTTATAGGTTGGTCTATGGCAAGGCTTGTCACTTGCCGGTTGAATTGGAATACAAGGCTTGGTGGGCTATCAAGGAGCTTAATATGGATTTGTCTTTGGCGGTGAGAAGAGATTGTTGAAGCTCAATGAACTTGAAGAGCTTAGGGATGATGCTTATGAGAGCTCAAGAATGTATAAGGAGAAGACTAAGAAATGGCATGACCAACATATTCGAAACAAGAGCTTTAAGGTTGGAGATAAGGCTTCGCTTGTTTCCGGGTAAACTCAAGTCTAAGTGGTTGGGGCCTTTTGTGGTATCGAAGACTACTCCTTATGGTTCTTTTGAGTTAGATGCGGATGGGAACAAGTTCATGGTCAATGGTTCTCGTTTGAAACATTACTTTTGCAAAGAAGAAGTTGGTGTGATCGAGTGTCTAAGGCTTATCCCTTTGGGTCCTAAGCCACCCTCTTGAATGAATTTTCCTCATGGTCAAGCTAATGACCTTATAAAGAAGCGCTTCCGGGAGGCAACCCGAGTTTCTAATCCTTTTCTACTTTCTTCTTTTCTTGTTGCTTATATTTTTCTATCCACAATTTTGGATTGTTGGGATTTATGAGTTTTGATTGTGTTTGGATTTTTTATATGCGTTGCATCTAGTGTGATGGTATGGTGTTTAGATGTGTGTTAAGGACAATTTTTACTTGTGCGATTTTTTTTTAAGGGAGTTTGGCCGAACCACTTTATGTTCGGCCACTGCAGCATTTTCAAGGAATTATGGCAGCCTTCTGCCAAAAAGTTCAAACTTTCATTTTGACTGAAGGTTCGACCGAACCTAGGGATGGTTCGATCGAACTTGTACTGTAGTTCGGCCGAACTGTCCTTGGTTCGGTCACTCCTCAATTTTTGAAAAATTTCAGCCCCATTCTGCCAAAATTTGCAAAAACCATGTTGCAGTATAGGTTCGACCGAACCCTGGGATGGTTCGACCGAACATGCCCTGTAGTTTGACCGAACTGTCCCTTGGTTCGGTCACTCCTCCATTTTTGCAAAATTGGGGAAGCATTCTGCCAGAATTTAAGAAAAATGAATTTCAGCTCAGGTTCGACCGAACTTGGAGTAAGTTCGACCGAACTTTCACTGTAGTTCGGCCGAGCATACCCTTGGTTCGGCCGAACCATGTATCAGTTTTGAATAAAAAAACGCTGTTGCTTTTTTTTTTTTATCTTGCTGCTGATTTTCGAGGCTTGATACTCCCATTTTCGCATCTCGCTTCCCCATTCTCCTCCTTCTCACTCTAAACCTCCATTACAACCCCTCTTACAACCTCAAATCTCCATCAAAATCACTCCAATCTTCACTTTTTCTCACTTATTTTCCATCATCTACTTAATTTCTACAATCTCCACCAAAAATTCCTCACAAAAATCCCATCTTTTCATTTTCCCCAATTTCAAGGGTTTGAGTGCTTTGGTGTTTTTTGGGTTTCTACTTGCTTCCAATTAATTGTGGTATGGTTTTCCTAGATTTTGCAAGTTTATTTCTTCAATTTCTCATAGTTTTACCATGTTTTACATGTTTAAGTATGTATTTTGGTATTCTTGAAATTGTTAGTAATAACTTGATTGATTCATGTGGTTCTTTGGATTTACTTGATGCAAATGATTGGTTGTTGATAGTAGAACATGTTGTTATGATGATTATGCATGTTTGCCTTAGTTTTATTTTGATCTCAATATCTTTGCTTAAGAATGTTGATTTCATACTAGGGTGTTCTTGTTACTATTTTATGATTGAGAAATTCATGAGTTGGATGTTATTGGAGATTGTTGTTCATTGTTTTTAATTGATTGATGAATGATTATCATGAAAATTAGGGGACATCATGCCAAATTTCACCTAGACTTTGTTAGGACTCATATAGGAATGACATAGGATTTCTTATTCAAGCCTTGGTTCAAATGTATTCATGCATGCCTTGAATTGTATACTCTCATGCATACACTTTTACCTTGGCTAGCTTCTTATGTCATTTCTTATCAATTTGTTCTAATGATATGCTCTTGGTGAATTTGTAGAATCAAAATGCTCGGCAAAGGCAAAGGAAAATCAAAGAGGAAGAGAGTGGGAGAATCTTAAGGACCACAACTCCCACCTCCTCCCGGCATCAATGATCACGGCATTGTGCTTTGAACGAGCAATTTTGGCCCATCTATGAGTCACTCATCAAGCGTCCAATCCGTTCTACCAGATTCTTTTGCCCCCAAACTTCGAGGAAGCTAGGTATTTTGGATGAGGTGGTCAGGTTGGCTCTCAGAACTTTGGATGGGGTGACTTCATTCACCTTCACGCTTACACTTATGAGCGTGTAACTTTGGAATTCCTTGCCTCTATTCGCAAGGAAGCCATTGAGCCGGAGGATGATGATGAGGATCCTCAACTTATGATCCACTTTAGAATGTTCAACGAGGATCACTCTTTAACGGAAAGTCACCTAAATGAGATATTCTTTTGGCATGCCATCGGACTTGATCACCCATCCGAAATGACCTCCACTCATCGCATACCCTACAACGAGCAAGAGTGGTGGAGGAGTATCACTAACAAGGATATGTTTCAAACCAACTCCTCAAAGGTCAACAATATCATTCACATAGCCTTGAGGTATTTTGTACGGCTTCTCCAATATGCCGTGTTCTTCAAAGCAAACCTCGACTCAATGGTAAAGGATGAGGTTGCTTGCCTATTCTTGGCCGATAACCCTCAGCGGCTCAAATTTTAATGCTCTTCCACCTTCATCCAACGGCTCTTGGATACTAGGGAGAACCGTCTCGGTGATGAGATCTTCATGGGTGGCGTGATTACTATTATTGCTCTTTCTTTGAAGAATGGAGTATACAAAGATCAAATTGAATTGCTCCCACCCGTGCACCAATCCCGAGAGGAGCTCACCGACGAGTCCCCTCCCTATGCTCTTTCCATATGCGCCCTCCGTCACAACCGCTTCATCAACTACACCATTAGCAAGCGCCGATTCATCCTCTTGGTCGATAGGGGGATAGAGTGGTGTATCCTCCCGGACCCCACCCTCACTACGGTGGACTACTCCGCTCCTCTCAAATGGAAGATCCCTCAGCAAAACATCCCCAATGAGCTGAGACGACCTAGAGCCCGGAGTGGAGTTCCTTAACCTCCACTGGTCCCCCAAGCGAATCAATTCGTTCCCCCCTTTCACGGGGGAGGTGAGGCATCTTCCTCTTCTTCCATCTCTCCTTTTGATCTAAATGCCCTTCGTAGTACCCTCGATGATATCCGTCGAGACAATCAAGCTTCCATTGAACAATGGGGGTACTACGCGAGGGCAAATTATGACAATCTTGTGCAAGCGGGCATTCAAGCGCCCTATGTTAACTACCCTTACCAGAGTTACCACCCTCCTCAAGAGAGTCCGGTCAATCATTGGGGGCCCTATGACCCTCAAAACCCCACCCCCCCTTGCTACGCCTATTGTAAAGGTCCCATCGACCCTACCCAACGCGTTGGCACCCCACCATACGACCCCTATCGTCCGGGTGGGTGTGATCCGACTTATGACCCGGCATCCACATCTACCCCTACTCCTTTTGATGGCGGTTGGGGTGACCAAGGGTGGCCCTATGAGCTCTTCAACCAACCCTTCCACCCTTTCATGGACACTCCCGGGTTTGATCCTGATAACCCCCCTCAACCTAGGGGGCGCGGAGATGATAACCCGTGATGAGGGTGGGGTCCGAGAGGATACACCACTCTATCTCCCTATCGACCAAGAGGATGAATCGGCACTTGCTAGTGGTGTAGTTGATGAAGCGGTTGTGATGGAAGGCGCTTATGGAAAGAGCATAGGGAGGGGACTCGTCGGTGAGCTCCTTTCGGGATTGGTGCACGGGTGGGAGCAATTCAATTTGATCTTTGTATGCTCCATTCTTCAAAGAAAGAGCAATAATAGTAATCATGCCACCCATGAAGATCTCATCACCGAGACGGTTATCCCTAGTATCCAAGAGCCGTTGGATGAAGGTGGAAGAGCATTGAAATTTGAGTCGCTGAGGGTTATCGCCAAGAATAGGCAAGCAACCTCATCCTTTACCATTGAGCCGAGGTTTGCTTTGAAGAACACGACATATTGGAGAAGCCTACCTCAAGGCAATGTGAATGATATTGTTGACCTTTGAGGAGTTAGTTTGAAACATATCCTTGTTGGTGATACTCCTCCACCACTCTTGCTCGTTGTAGGGTATGCGATGAGTGGAGGTCATTTCGGATGGGTGATCAAGTCCGATGGCATGCCAAAAGAATATCTCATTTAGGTGACTTTCCGTTAAAGAGTGATCCTCGTTGAACATTCTAAAGTGGATCATAAGTTGAGGATCCTCATCATCATCCTCCGGCTCAATGACTTCCTTGCGAAAAGAGGCAAGGAATTCCAAAGTTACACGCTCATAAGTGTAAGCGTGAAGGTGAATGAAGTGACCCCATCCAAAGTTCTGAGCCAACCTGACCACCTCATCCAAAATACCTAGCTTCCAAAAAGTTTGGGGGCAAAAGAATCTGGTACAACGGATTGGACGCTTGATGAGTGACTCATAGATGGGCCAAAATTGCTCGTTCGAAGCACAATGCCGTGATCATTGATGCCGGGAGGAGGTGGGAGTTGTGGTCCTTAAGATTCTCCCACTCTCTTCCTCTTTGATTTTCCTTTGCCTTTGCCGAGCATTTGATTCTACAAATTCACCAAGAGCATATCATTAGAACAAATTGATAAGAAATGACATAAGAAGCTAGCCAAGGTAAAAGTGTATGCATGAGTATACAATTCAAGGCATGCATGAATACATTTGAACCAAGGCTTGAATAAGAAATCCTATGTTAAAAAAAACTCGACCCGATTGTCCCGACCCGATTTCCCGATGACCCGATAAAAACCCGATGGGAAATTTGGGGGAAAAAAACTCTTTTTTCAAGTACGGGTACCCGACTCGAAAAACAGACCTATTTTCGGGTGAGCAGTAAAACTCTGAAAAGTGTGGGTACCCAATTACGTGAAAATAAATTAATATAAAAAAAAAAAAAACCTCCGTCAAAATTAAAGCCCAGCCCATTTAG